CTAATAGCAAATTTTTGCCTCCTGTTCCCAGGACTTTATATGGAAATTGCACTGAATTTTTTGTTGGAATGGTTTAAGGCATAAGAGGTTTGGTGACAGTTCTACAACTAGCCTAATTTGAGGTCCCCTTGACCTGGGTCCTGCTGAATGGGCAGAATGTCATCATCACCAACCCAAGCATGTTATTTATTGAGAAAATGAGTGACTCAAGAAATGTTTGCCGAACATCTTTCAGCCCAGTGTCTTTTGGATTGCCCTGCTGAGAAATTCTTCTTAAAAATGTTCAGTACTTTTAAGATATGCCAGACTGTTTGTTTTCATAAATTACTCCATGTTCCCATTTCAAAAGATAGACTCTTCTCTGTCAGATTTTAGATTAGCAAGAAACAAGAAAGATCCTAAAAACCTACAGAAGGACAACCATTTAAATAATAAAAATCAGTCTATGATGTGACTTTCTCAAGAGTGATTCTGATTACCAACAGGCTGGAGAAAATGCCCTCTCCTTAGCCTATTATTCATCAAGTGTGTAAAATAAAGATCTTTTCAGATATTCAAGATCTCAAAAAATGTATGTTTATACATCCTTTCACAGGAAGGTGCTAAAGAATGTGCTTTAGCAAAAGAAAAGATCAGAGCATGAGATCCTGTAAATGGCAGCTAAGAGAGAATAATGAAGGGAAACACTAGGAAACAAGTACTGGATTATCTCTGCATTTATCACATGGAAAATATTATAAAATGCTATTTTAACTACCTACTGAAAAAACAACCAAAATTTTTGAATGAAACAATTATTAACCCCAGGAAAAGTTATGTGTATGTATATATAGAGAGAAAAGAAAACATACTCATAGTAGAACTGGCTCAGCAGTAAGCAATATTTAAACAGTAAATCTAAACAATATAAACACTCTTCATTTAACTAAAAAGTTAACTAATTTGAGAGTTGGGGAGAAGATGTATAAGTAGGCATGGAAGAGATACATTTTCATCTGCCATATAAGAAGGCAATAGGGCTGACTCTGGGTACACTGCCTAGGAGTTAGCCCTGTTCCACAAGGAGAAGTAATAAAAGAGAAAAGAGAAGGTGATAGAGAATGTATAAAAATCATATTTTAAGAAAGACAGTATAAGAATCTTTACTTGAGAATATGGAGACACATTGCAGAAGAAACAGCTGTAGGAGTCAAGATTGTTTTCCTATTGACCACATAATTGGAAGTAAATCTCTCCTCAGCAAATGCAAAAGAATGGAAATCATAACAAACAGTCTCTCAGACAGCAGTGCAATCAAATTAGACTCAGGATTAAGAAACTGACCCAGAACCGCACAACTTCATGGAAACTGAACAACTGGCTCATGAATGTCGACTGGATAAGCAATGAAATGAAAGCAGAAATAAAGATGTTCTTCGAAACCAACGACAATGAAGACACAGTGTACCAGAATCTCTGGGACACATTTAAAGCAGTGTCTAGAGGAAAATTTATAGCAATAAATGCCCACATGAGAAGCAAGGAAAGATCTAAAATCGACACCCTATCATCAAAATGGAAAGAGCTAGAGGAGCAAGATCAAAAAAGCTAAAAAGCTAGCAGAAGACAAGAAATAACTAAGATTAGAGCAGAACTGAAGGAGACAGAGACACAAAAAAAAAAACCTTAAAAAAATCAATAAATCCAGGAGCTGGTTTTTTGAAAAGATCAACAAAATAGACCACTAGCCAGATTAATAAAAAAGAAAAGAGAGAAGAATCAACTAGATGCAATAAAAAACGATAAAGGAGATATCACCCTTAGGGATTACTACAAACAAGTGTGTGCACATAAACCAGTAAACCTGGAAGAAATGGATAAATTCCTGGACACTTGCACCATCCCCAGCCTAAACCAGGAAGAAGTCAAAACCCTGAATAGACCAATAACAAGAGCTGAAGGTGAGGCAGCAATTAATAGCCTACCAACCAAAAAAAGCCCAGGTCCAGATGGGTTCCCAGCTGAATTCTACCAGACATACAAAGAGGAGCTGGTACCACTCCTTCTGAAACTATTCCAAAAACAATCCAAAAAGAGGGAATCCTTCCCAAATCATTTTGTGAGACCAACATCATCCTGATACCAAAATCCAGCAGAGACCTAACAAGAAAAGAAAACTTCAGGCCAATATCCATGATGAACATAGATGCAAAAATATTCAATAAAATACTGGCAAAACGATTGCAACAGCACATCAAAAAGATTATCCATCACAATCAAGCAGGCTCCATCCCAGGGATGCAAGGCTGGTTCAACATACGCAAGTCTATAAACGTAATTCACCACATAAACAGAACCAAAGACAAAAACCACATGATTATCTCAATAGATGCAGAGACGGTGTTTGACAATATTCAATGCAAGTCTGTAAACGTAATTCACCACATAAACAGAACCAAAGACAAAAACCACATGATTATCTCAATAGATGCAGAGAAGGTGTTTGACAAAACTCATTAGCCCTTTATGCTAAAAACTCTCAATAAACTAGGTCTCAACAGAACATATCTCAAAATAATAAAAGCTATTTCACTAGCCCTTTATGCTAAAAACTCCCAATAAACTAGGTCTCAACGGAACATATCTCAAAATAATAAAAGCTATTTATGACAAACCCACAGCCAATATCATACTGAAAACTGGAAGCATTCCCTTTGAAATCTGGCACTAGACAAGGATGCCCTCTCTCACCACTCCTATTCAATATAGTATTGGAAGTTCTAGCCAGAGCAATCAGGCAAGAAAAAGGAATAAAGGGTATCAATTAGGAAAGGAGGAAGTCAAATTGTGTCTATTTGGAGACGACATGATTGTATATTTAGAAGACTCCACCGTCTCAGCCCAAAATCGCCTGAAACTTATAAGCAATTCAGCAAAATCTCAGGATACAAAATCAATGTGCAGAGAACACAGCATTCCTATACACCAATAACAGACTTAAAGAGAGCCAAATCAAGAAAAAACTGCCATTCACAATTGCTATGAAGAATATAAAATACCTGGGACTACAACTAGCAAAGGATGTAAAGACCTCTTCAAGGAGAACTACAAACCACTGCTCAAGGAAATAAGAGAGGACAAAAACAGATGGAAAAACATTCCATGCTCATGGTTAGGAAGAATCAATATTGTGAAAATGGCCATACTGCCCAAAGTAATTTATAGATTCAATGCTATCCCCATCAAGCTACCTATGACCCTCTTCACAGAACTGGAAAAAACCACCTTAAACTTCATATGGAACCAAAGGAAAGCCTGCATAGCCAAGTCAATTCTAAGCAAAAAGAACAAAGTTGGAGGCCATCACGCTACCTGACTTCAAACTATACTACAAGCCCACAGTAATCAAAACAGCATGGTACTGGTACCAAAACAGAGATATAGACCAATGGAACAGAACAGAGGCCTCGGAGGCAATGCCACACATCCACAACCATCTGATCTTTGACAAACCTGACAAAAACAAGCAATGGGGAAAGGATTCCCTGTTTAATAAATGGTGTTGGGAAAACTGGCTAGCCATGTGCAGAAAGCAGAAACTGGACCCCTTCCTGACACCTTACACTAAAATTAACTCCAGATGGATTAAAGACTTAAACATAATACCTAACACCATAAAAACCCTAAAAGAAAACCTAGGCATACCATTCAGGACATAGGCATAGGTGAGGACTTCATGATGAAAACACCTAAAGCATTGGCAACAAAAGCCAAAATAGACAAATGGGACCTAATTAAACTCCAGAGCTTTTGTACAGCAAAAGAAGCAATCATTAGAGTGAACCAGCAATCAACAGAATGGGAAAAAAATTTTGCGATCTACCCATCTGACAAAGGGCTAATATCCAGAATCTACAAAGAACTAAAACAGATTTACAAGAAAAAAAAAAAAAAACCATTCAAAAGTAGGTGAAGAATATGAACAGATGCTTTTCAAAAGAAGACATATATGAGGCCAACAAACATATGAAAAAATGCTCATCATCACTGGTCATTAGAGAAATGCAAATCAAAACCACACTGAGATACCGTCTCATGCCAGTTAGAATGGCGATCATTAAAAAATCTGGAGACAACAGATGCTGGAGAGGATGTGGAGAAATAGGAACTCTTTTCCACTGTTGGTGGGAGTGTAAATTAGTTCAACCATTGTGGAAGACAGTGTAGTGATTTCTCAAGGACCTAGAAATAGAAATTCCATTTGACCCAGCAATCCCATTACTGGGTATATATCCAAAGGATTATAAATCGTTCTATTATAAAGACACATGCACATGTGTGTTCATTGCAGCACTGTTTACAATAGCAAAGACCTGGAACCAACCCAAATGCCCATCAATGATAGACTGTACAAGGAAAATGTGGCACATATACATCATGGAATACTATGCAGCCATAAAAAACGATGAGTTTGTGTCCTTTGTACGGACATGGATGAATCTGGGAACAATCATTCTTAGCAAACTGACACAAGAACAGAAAATCGAACACCGCATGTTCTCACTCATAGGCAGGTGTTGAACAATGAGAACACATGGATACAGGGAGGGGAGCATCACACACTGGGGTCTGTTGGCGGGGACTAGGGGAGGGACAGTGGGAGGTAGCGAGTTGAGGAGGGATAACATTGGGAGAAATGCCAGATATAAATGATGGGAGGATGGAGGCAGCAAACCACATTGCCATGTATGTACCTATGCAACAATCCTGCATGTTCTGCACATGTACTCCAGAACCTAAAGTGCAATAAAATATAAATAAAAAAAGATTGTTTTCCTTTGGGACCAGAGTGAAGAATAACAAAAACATTGTGGCAGTGGTTGCATTTTAATATTAGTTGTCTTATCCAGATTTATATTGATAAAAGTCAAAAATGTTTTAAGGACGATAAATATCAGCACTGTATAAAATGGATCAGAAGATGGAGAGATCATTTTATTTTATTTTATTTCTCTTCTTAGGACCTGGAATATTGAGATACCAATGACAATAGAAGATGCGCTAAAGGAGATTAGAGGAAACCAAGTGATTTTTCAAGATTGCTTTATTGCAGATTTTCTTATTCTGTTGACTTTTCCTATGTTAACTATACCAGAAATTCCTGGTTATTTACCAATCTCTTCACCCCCTGGTAGTCAACTAATTGCTTTCCGTGATACTTGTATTTTTGCATGTGTTGTTTTGGTAACTGACAGGGAGACCTTTCAAACAAATGATTCATTCCGTACTTGGACCAGAGTCAGAGTGCCTCCAGACATTCTGAGTGATGATGAAAGACAGAATGTAACTGATGTGATTTTATCACGAGATGGAGTAATTTTTTATATAAATGGTGTTCTTTACCTAAAAAGTTTTCGTGGATTTATAAAAATGGGAAGAACTATAAATCTTCCTGATGATGGAATTGCTGGCATTTCATCAAGAAAATGGTGTTGGGTCAAATATTTATTCAAGGTAAGTAAGTGACATTTTATATTTTATAAATATATTTATATTTTACAAATATATTTATCATACCATTTATTCAGTGATAAACAGAAACTTGCTGTGCAGCTTTTTGCCTAGTTGTTTTATCTAAGGCTGTAAACAGCTCTAACTCAGCTTCTCAGATACCTCTTTACAGTAGAGATACACCTCCAAAACTAAAAATAAATTAAAACTTGTATGTTATTATGCAGTTCACTCATAATATGGGAGCTTTGTTTTACCTTGATATGGGCAAAAGACACAAAATTCTTTTTCCCCAAACAAAGGTTATATGAGCTCTCCAGAATGAATAATGAGTTTTTGTTACATGTATAGAAAGTGTAATGATCAAGTCAGGGTATTTGGGATATTCATCTCCTTCAGTATTTACCATGTCTATGTGTTGGTATCATTTCCTCTTTCCTAGTTACTTTGAAATGTTAAAAATATTGTTGCTAAGCATAGGTTAGGTACCCTGGTCTCACTACAGACAAACTAGAAACACTAGAACTTATTTATTCTGTAGAATGGTATGTTAGTTAGATATATAACAATATAACTTATTCTTCTATTTAACTGTGTATCTGTACCCATTAAGCAACCTCTCTTCATACTCCCTTCCACGCACCCACCCTTCCCAGACTCTAATATCTATCATTCTATTCTGTTTCCTTGAGATCATGGATTTTACCTTCCACATATGAGTAAGAACATGTAGTATTTGTCTTTCTGTGCCTGGCTTATTTCACTTATTGACCTCCAGTTCCATCTATATTGCTGGAAACGACATAATTTTGTTACTTTTATGGCCAAATAGTATTCCATTGGGTATATATACCGCATTTTCTTTATCCATTCATCCAGTGATATACATTTATGTTGATCCCATGTCTTCGTTATTGTGAATAGTGTTGCAATAAACATGTAAGTACAGGTGTCCCTTTGATAATACTGATTTCTTTTCCTTTTGATAAATACCCAGTAGTGGGAATGCTGGATTGTATGGCAGTTCTATGTTTAGTTTTTTTTGAGAAACCTCCATACTCTTTTTCATAGCGGTTGTGCTAAATTACATTCCCACCAACAGGGTATATGAGCTTCCTTTTCTCTGCCTCCTTGGCAGCATCTGTTGTTTTTTAATAATTGCCAGGCTGGGCAGGATGGCTCACACCTGTAGTTCCAGCACTGTGGGAGGCCAAGGTGGGATGATTGCTTGAGCCTAGGCATTAGAGACCAGCCTTGGCAACATGGAAAGACCCCCATCTTTAAAAAATAAAATAAAATCTAGAAGAAAAAAAAAACAATAGCCATTTAACAGGGTAAAATGATATCTCATTGTGGTTTTGGTTTGCATTTCCCTGATTATTAGTGATGTTAACCATTTTTTTTACATACCTGTTTGCCATTTGTTTATCTTCTGAGAAATATCTATTCATGACCTTTGCCCACTTTTAAATGGGATTTTTTTTTTTTTTTTTTTTACTATTAAGTTGTAAAATTGAAGAAGAGGTAATTATCCCTAACTCATTCTACAAGACCAGCCTTTTCCTGATACCAATACCAGAGAAGAACACAACACAAAAAAAGAAAACTACAGGCCAATATTCCTGATGCATATAAAACACAAAAATCCTCAGAAAAATTCTAGCAAACTGAATCAAACAGCACATCACAAATAGAACACACCGTGGGATTTATACCAGCAATGTAAGGATAATTTGACTTATACAAATCAATAAGTGTGTTACCTAACATCAACAGAATGAAGGACAAACACCATATGATCATCTCAACAGATAGAGAAAAAGCTTATGATAAATTCAACACCCCTTCATGATAAAAATTTAGCAAACTGGCCTGGCACAGTGGCTCACACCTATAATCCCAGCACTTTGGGAGGCCAAACTGGGTGGATCACAAGGTCAGGAGTTCAAGACCAGCCTGGCCAATATGGTGAAACCCCATCTCTACTAAAAATACAAAAATTAGCTGAGCATGGTGGTGTACGCCTGTAGTCCCAGCTACTCAAGAGGCTGAGGCAGGAGAATCACTTGAACCTGAGAGGTGGAGGTTGCAGTGAGCCAAGATCGCACCACTGACTCCAGCCTGGGTAACAAGAGCGAAACTCCGTCTCAAA